GAAACTTGGAGAACTACTACAACCATCATAAAAATGTTCAATTATTTCTAAACAATTGTGTACGTAAGATATTGAATGTCCGTTGACCAGATACCATCAGCAGCAATCTACTGTGGGAGAGAAAGAACAAACATCCAGCTGAGTAGGAAATGAAGAAAAGACGTTGGAAGTTGATAGGTCACACATGCAGGAGATTATCAGACTGCATCATGAGGCAAGCTGTAATTTGTAATCCTGAAGACAAAATGGAGATTAGAAGACCATGGAACATATGTAGTCGGGAATTAGAACCAGACATGAAAAGAATGGATGGGAACTGGAAACCACTGGAAAGGATCGACAAGAACAGAGTTGGATGGAGAATGCCGATGAGCGGCCTATCTCCTACACGACGTAGGGTAAGAGGCGTAAGTAAGTCATATAAATCCAATTTATACTTCATTAATTCGGGTACGCTTTTCAGCTATAGACCATTTACACATTCCAACTGACAGCAATTAACCTTGAGCAGTGACTGCTAATCTATTGGTTCGGGACTCTTCTGAACCGGTGTCCAGCCAGATGTAGGAACATAACAAACAGACAAATGTTGGATTATTATTTAATCCTTACAGCTCAATAATTCATATCTTTATGTAGATTAATGATGAAGCCACAATACATAACAAATAAGAAATTAAAATTTTTTCATAATGAAGTCGAATGTGATTAAAAATAGGAGTAAGTGGTAAATAATTACTACGAAGTATAACAATACTTAGTGAGTCCAACGGAAGCTTAGGATACACGGAAAATGGCAATACAATAATAAACAGTTGTTGCTCTAAGACGCGAAAATGTCTTGATACGACCGATGGTGGGATGGGTTCGCTCTCTCTCTCTCTCTCTCGAAACTCTCTCATATGGTCACGCTGTAGCTTATAGTTTTCCTGAGGTTTTGGCAATTTATTTAAATCCAACTAAAAAATTTTCACAGATTGAAATCATGAGTCAGTTGAAGCTAGACCACCATTGAAAACCTGGAAGCACTGGACGGCCGTTTCGTCCTAGTATGGGACTCCTCAGCAGTGCGCATCCCATACTAGGACGAAACGGCCGTCCAGTGCTTCCAGGTTTTCAATGGTGGTCTAGCTTCAACTGACTCATGATTTCAATCTGTGAAATTTCTTAAATCTCCACAAAACCCATTCTGATAAAAAAAATTTTAAATTCCATTTAAGTTTTAAGAATTAATTGTGCTATGCTTACACCAACGGTGACCGTATCCTACGAAACAACTATGGATGATATACAAGAGATTGAATTGGTCTATGTTCAACTGTACCACTTCAGTCCAAGCAGAGTATGCTTCCATTTTTTATATACGTTATTCTCATCTTCGTTCTATACAACCAAAAAGTGTAATCAGTTTCGGGGTTGTGGAGATTGTTAAGTTTCTGATTGAGATCATGAACCGATTGATGTTGGACCACCATTGAAAACCTGGAAGCACAGAACGGCCGTTTCGTCATATTGTGGGACTCCTCAGCAGTGCTCATCCACGATCCCGCTCGCGGGATTCGAACCCAGGACCCTCAGTCTCGCACGCGAACGCTTAACCTACTGGACCACTGAGCAGGCCGGCATCTAATAGTGTTAATTTCTAACCTCCCACAATAGGACGAAATGGCCGTCCAGTGCTTCCAGGTTTCCAGTGGTTGTTCATCATCAATCGGTTCATGATCTCAATCGAAATTATACATACTTTATTGAAATGCTTGTTATTTAACTAAACTGTATTGTAAAGTGTTTCCAATTAATTAATTATTTATTTATCATTCACAAGTTGATCTATGTATCTATGTATGTATGTATGTACTTATGTATGTATGTGTGAACAGTAATTACATAATAATTAATTCAAGTTCCATTCTATTCAGATCAATCTCACGCTAAACAATTTTCTCAAATGTTTCACAATGGAAACTCTTTCACATTTAATTTGTATTGAAAAACAAAAGTATGTGTATAGGTTATTGAAATTCCTTTTTCAAATAGAACACACAATAAATCGTTACAGTACAATTTACATTTAAACGTGTTAGTAACAATCATGATCGAACAAATGAATAAGATATCAGAATTTTCAGGGTTGTTTTAGGGGGGATGGTGTGGGGTGTAGGAGAGGAAATGTTTATTGAAAACGTTTATAAGATCATTTAAACTATAATTTATTTTTAAAAAATTCGTTTCACCGGTTGAAATCATGGGTCAATTGAAGCTAGACCACCATGAAAAACCTGGAGGCACTGGACGGCCGTTTCGTCCTAGTATGGGACTCCTGGAATTCTAGTGAGAAGCAGTTACCAGTGAAGTTCAACCAGGTCTGTTGTGAGATATCGACTCACTGAGGACAGTGGTATACGGTGGCGCAACTTCGCGGATTGGTTGAAGTTAGACATTAACATCGTTGGATGTTGGTCGGGTCAGTGGTCTAGTTGGTTAAGCGCCTGGCGCGAAACTGATAAATCCAGGATTCGAACCGCGTGGGGTGCGGGGTCATGGATGTGCACTGCTGAGGAGTTCCATACTAGGAAAAAACGGCCGTCCAGTGCTTCCAGGTTTTCCATGGTAGTCTAGCTTCAATTGACTCATGATTTCAAACAGTGGAATCTCTAAGATCTCCACAAAACCCCTTCTGATAAAAATTCGTTTGATAAATAGTAGTTTTGTCAGTAAAAGTATTTGAAATTAAATTAATAACCTGGATATTGAAGTCCAATTTAATTGACTTCTGTAAGATATTCATAAGTTACTAGTATTTCTTCACATATTAGAATTATTGCTGGCATCTGCTCGTAACACTAGGTAAGTAATGGTGAGGTTAGATGCAGGGTATTAGGGAGTGATGATGGTAAATCAGCTCATGAGTTTGTGAATCTACATCTAATGAGATGGTTGGGCCACGTTTTATGTATGCCTGAACACCGACTACCACAACGCTCAATGCTGATTAGTGTTGGAGACAATTGGAAGAAAGTCAGGGGCAGCCAAACCGAAACGTGGCATCAGTGCTTGAAGTCACTAACTTCTGATCTGAGCCATGTTGGTAGATGCAAACCACTTGGTTGGGGTCCATGTGACAGTCACAACCAATGCTTAGAGACTCTGAGTGACTTGTAACTGAGAATCGACCACAATGGCACAAGTGTATACACTCTTTACCTTCCCTTAAACCGTGGGGTTAAAATTATTTTATACCTTTCTTTCTACGAACTAATTATTCCTTCATGTATTATATCCTTATATGCAATTTTTGTTTTTATATATTATTACCATTGAAATGACTGCTTCTATGAATTTGGTGTTCATCTTGTTGTTATGTCTGAGGTATGGCAACTTGGACTGATGCATATATGTGCCTGGTCCTACGTTTTAGCTGACTGACTGACTAAATTTGTTCAAACATTTGGATGGTATCAATAATAACGATTAATAGACAAAGACATAAATCTATACTTGCTTCATGTAATGAATTAGTTATGTAGTACGTATTCACAATACTGGTGGTTATATAATGCGTTAAAGTATATAGATTACTGTCAACTGGAAGAGAATTTGAGCGAGGTTGAACCCTCAAAACGATCCTATATGGGATTACTGTTTATATTTCCAACTGAAAAGTTATTAAACGATTTCAATATTGTATCCCTATAGTCTTCTATTCTTTGATTTTCATATGACCCATAAACCATTGTTATCTACCGTACCATTCCAAATTTTTTATTAATTGATTATTCCCCTCCTACTTATTTATGAGCTGGTGGTGTGTATATTGCATTGTGGTTAGGCAGTTAATCTATATTAACACACGATTTTTAAGTCAATGGTATATATAGAGTAAAATAGAAATTTCTGCTTACTAACTTCGTCTTCTGATCCGACAGTAGGTTAAACGAAATTAAAGAACCAATACTCATTCAGGTATATGTTGTTGTTGTTCATTGATCATTGGGTCATTGATAACATAGAAAATCATTGATCTTACAAGTAATATAAGTGAGTAAATCAATAAATGGTTCAGAGAATAGAACTACTCTTACGATAAACAACCAGATCACATGGATACTGTCACAATACATGAATCCACTTTTTGAGATTATAATAATTACTTATATATAGTTCATGAAATCTATATGTTTTATTTAGAGATAGTTTAGTTTAAAAATCGTCCTTTTAACAGAATATTAAAAGTTAGAAAGAGCTGGTTAGTTTGTTTTATTCTTATTTGCATTTTTTTCTTTAAGTAATCTAAACCAACTCCGCCTGGAGTCCCTCCGGGGGCTACTGCCGGTCCCAAGCCTGGATAAAGGAGGAGGGTTGGACATGGGGTTAGCGACCCCATCCTGTAGAAAACTAAGTCGCTAAACAAACGCTAACCAAAGCTGGTCGGTGGCCTATGCTCCATTAGGAGTAACAGGCGTAAGTAGGTAAGTAATTTAAACCATTTGTCCCAAATAATACCAAATAGAATATCTTTTAAGGTTAAAAAAATCTTGACTGAATATTATTATATCCTTCACTAGACTTGACTATCTTAAAATGAGTCTGATATAATCTCATAGATATGTGGAAATCTGTTCAGAGCTTTATTGTTTTCAATGGTTATTCAACTAATCTGTATGTTCACGAGAAAACTATCATCAAATTAACCGTCTTTTTTTACATGTTATACAACATTTAATAGTGATATCATTTTGTATAAGGTCAGCTTGAGATGTACCAGTCTCACTGCACCCCTCCCCCAAAAAAAGACATAATCCATACCCATTATTGATGAAAACAAGTGTCCAACTCCACAGTGTTATATAGAAACATCATTCGACAAACATTGATAAGTGTATAGCTCACAACATAAGTATGGTCATCTTTCTTAATGAATTATGTACACATAATATAAATGAATAAATAGAAAAAAAACACAAGCAAACAAATAAATGTGAATAAATTTCAACACTTACCAGATACAGATTTCAATCCTGATCTTTCAAAACTGGACGCTTTAAACTGATTGCATATATTTGATTTGTTTGAATGATTAGGGCTAATACTGACTGGAGCACTTTTGGGCTCAGATAACGAGTTCTGTTGTTGTGATTGTAGTTCATCTGTTGTTGTTGTTGTTGAATCGCATACAACATCACTAGAAGTATTCTGTTGTCTATGTTGTTGTTGCTGTTGTTTAATATTCAAGAATAATGATCCTGGTACAGTCGTGGTTGTAGGTGAGGTTGCTGTCACTGCTGTTATTGACGTTGCTGTTGTTGTTGTTGTTATTCTTGTCGATGATAATGATGATATTGGAGTAGTAAGTGTTTTCTGTTGTAATTTATTACTTCGGGTTACAGATGAATTATTATTATTATTACACGGATTACTGATATCACTATTCACTGTATAATTATTAATATTTTGATAATCATATGACTTTTTATGAGATTGACTTAATTTTTGAGTTTTTACTTTTATATCCACTAAATTATTTGCTCGTGGTATAGACTGACGAATACTACTAGTTTGATATTGTGGTGATAATGGTTTTGTACTAGAAATTGAACTTGGTGAAGATGATAACGAACCATTGAACGACGATGTAGTTATTGAAATAGATGAAGGAAAACGTAATGATGTAACACTGAAATATAATAAATTAAATGATTCAACTTATAAGTTGTCGTTAGCGGCGGTTTTTCCTTGTTTTAAAAATTCATTTGTTCTTCGATATTAATAATAATAATAATAATAATAATCACGAGAAGAAAAAAATTTTTTCCGAAATGAAAAACAAAAAAAATTTGTTTTAATGGTTCTGTTGTCAGGATATTTAATTGATCCTTAGTGTGAAAGTGTTACAAACTCTTGGATTAGTTTCACTGTAATTAAAATGAGATGATAAACATTGGTATATATATAGAGCGAGAGAGAGAGAGAGAGGGGGGAGAGGTGATGGTGGGTTGTGGGCGTGCCAGACTAAAAATAATTTTATAACCGAGTATTATAATCAATATGACATTATCTAATCATTGATTGGTCAATCAATTATCATTAATTTGATTGGTTTAAATTTGTTGTTATCGTTATTATTCTAGACTTGTAAGATTAATTTTAGTCTACTTTATTGTTTGAATGAAACAAAATTTCACAGATTGAAATCATGATCCAATTGAAACTAGACTACCATGGAAAACCTGAAAGCACTGGACGTCCGTTTCGTCCTAGAATGGGACTCCTCATCAGTACTCACCCACGATCCCGCCACCTCGCGAGATTTGGACACAGGACCTATCAATCTTGCGCCAGGTGCCTAACCAACTAGGCCACTGAGCCGGCCAGCATCCAACGGTGTTAATGTCTAACTTCAACCAATCCACGAAGTTATGCTACCGTACACCATTGTCTTCAGTGAGTTGATATCTCAAAACAGACCTAATTGAACACCATTGGTGACTACTTCTCACTAGAACTCCAGGATATACTTCACGAAGCCAGTCACTTGTGAGCATATGTTGACTAATATCAGATAGGTTTTGTGGATATCATAGTAATTGCAATGGTTAAGATCATGAGTCATTTGAAGCTAGAAACCAGTAGGTCCTGGGTTCGAATCTCTTGAGGCGAGGTCGTGGATGCGTACTGCTAAGGAGTTCCATACTAGGAAAAAACGGCCGCCCAGTGCTTCCATGTTTTTCATGGTGGTCTAGCTTCAATTGACTCATGATTTCAATCAGCGAAATTTCTAAAATCTCCACAAACCCCTTCTGATAAAACAAAATTGTCATAAAAATAGATTATTTTTTTCAAGTTTATTAGAATTCATAAAAAATAATAAAAAAAACTTTTTTTTTCTTATTTCTTAATAAAATAAACAGTTAAACAGAGAATATAAGTAAAGATAGATGGTAACTAACATTGAAATCTATGACATGCGTTACGTATTCTTTTTAAAACTTATCAACTGAATGTACCTACATCTCAGAGTTGATACTTTACTATGGGACTTAAACTTAATACTGTTAGTTTCAAATGTTGTCACATTATTCACTTAGTTACAGAGTTCTAATAAGGTAAGAAGACGTCTATAATAATTGTTGTTTGTGGTGGTCGGTATTTGATATAATCCTTAAACTTCGTATACAGTTCGTCGCGATAACCGTTCTATATAACGTACCAACGGTATATTACTCAGAAGGCAAATACGAAGTGTCGATTACGTTTATTACGAAACCACACACATATAGCCAAATGTACAGATGTGTTAAACCAGCATAGAAGAGTTGTGCCGAAATGCAAGCAAGCGAGCGAGAGCCAGAGCAAGAGCGTGACAAGACCGTGCGAGCGAGTTAGCGATTGAGTGTACAATATGAATAACATGGACATATATATATCATGTGAAATGAATGAGTAATAGAATCGAATAAGCGGTTAGTGGTAAGACTAGCAGACTGAATAAATGCGTAGGCAGTAATCAATATTCAAGCATACGTATTTCATACAAGCTCAAAATAATAATAAGGATACAATAAATTGTTGTGGTGCGGATGGCTTTGTCCGCTAAATAAGTTAACAAAAAGGGCTTAACTGGGTTAAATGAAAATAAACCCATTTGCACGTGAGTCGCTATAATAGCTCCCCCCTGCAAACAAAGATATATGGAAAATGTCTGTGTTTGCATAAAAAAAAATAGTAGACTGAATAGGGTAGAAAAATGGCTTATACAAAATTAAGGTGAAGTTATTGTGTGCTGTACATTTAGTTTGTGCCCGTCCGTGAGGTTACATAAAATAATAGCAAGAAATAGAAGGAATGTGGTATTGTCTTTACATTTTAAACAAAAATTATACGCATAAGTGTAAAGGTACATAAGATACGTTGAGTTTTATAGCGCATAACATGAGCTTAATAATGCATGTGTATACGATGAGGTAGAAGTTATAATTAATATTTAAAATAGTAGAAGATCATTAATAAAAAATCGTAGCGACGTATTGTTGGGGCCATCTTACTCTGCGGCCGGATCTTGTTGTTATCGGAGTCTTGTCTTTTTGTTGAGTTAACGTTGTTGATTTTTGGGACTCGTGTTTCGCTGGTATGACCATCTTAGATGAGTCCGTACTTGCTGATTGATTATCGCTATCGATGAAAGCTGGCTTTACTCGATCGATGCTAATTACATCTGTCTTCCCAGTTTTCTCTATGGTAACTGTTTTATTTGTCCTCTCTATAACTTTAAATGGGCCGTCGTAACTCGGTTGAAGAGGTGGTTGTATTTTATCTCTTCTGATGAATACGTGAGAGCTGTTATGTAGTTCCTGTGGTATGAATACTCGTCGTTGTTGTGGTCTGGGAGGTGTTATTTTTAAATCGCTCATGTGCTTTCTCAGGCGCTGCACATAGCCGGTTACATCAGTCGGGACATTTTTACTTGAAGTGAAAAATTCTCCGGGTAGCCGTAGAGTAGTTCCGTAAACTAACTCGGCTGGACAACATCCCATGTCTTGTTTAATTGTTGCTCTTAGAGCTAACATTACTAGGGGAAGTTTATTAGACCAATCGTTGTTAACGATGACGGCTGTAAGGGACGCTTTTAATTGCCTATGTAGGCGTTCAACCATTCCGTTTGCCATTGGATGGTACGACGTCGTTCGGATTCGCTTAATACCGAGGAGTTCAGTAAGCTGCTGAAAGAGTCGACTTTCAAATTGTGCTCCTCTATCAGTTGTGATAATCGTTGGTACACCGTAGTAAGAAATCCAATTTTCGACTAGGGTTTTAGCTACCGTTTCAGCTGAGGTGTCTTTTATCGGCACTGCTACCGGCCATCGTGTAAACCTATCGATGCATGTAAAGATATAGTTGTATCCATTTGAAACGGGCAGTGGTCCTACAATATCGATGTGTATATGTTCAAATCTAGTGTCTGGGTGCGAAAACGGACCTACTGCAGAGCTAGTATGACGATGTACCTTAACTTTTTGGCACTTCATGCATGCTTGTGTCCAATTACGTACATCGTGATTCATGTTTGTCCATACGAATCGTTCACTAATCAGCTTTATCGTGGCTTTTATTCCTGGGTGCGACATGTTGTGCATGCTTTCGAATATTTTGTGTCGCAACGTTTTCGGGATAAATGGTCGCGGTCGGCCTGTTGATGTATCGCAAATTACTTTCGTGTTACCAAACCGCACCTCTTCGAGTACTAATGATGTTGAACCACCGGATCTGAGTTTATTTAGCTCGATGTCTCTTTCCTGCAACTTTGCTAGACCGTTATAATCAATTCCACTTGCCATAAGTGTGCTTATCGTTGCTCGTGACAATGCGTCGGCCACATCGTTTTCTTGCCCTTTAACGTACTGTATGTCGGACGTGAACTGTGAAATGAACTCTAGTTGTCGGATCTCTCTCGAGGAATAATTGTCTTGCTTTGCGCTTAATGCTTTCGTTAGCGGTTTGTGGTCTGTATAGACGGTAAAACTTATGCCTTCGACCATATGACGGAAGTGTTTTATTGCTAAGTAGATTGCTAGTAATTCTCGTCCAAACGTACTATATCTCGTTTGGGTAGGATTTAATCTTTTCGAGAAAAATGAAAGTGGCTCCCATACACCGTTTACTAACTGCTGCAAAACGGCTCCTACTGCTAAGTTCGATGCGTCTGTCATTACTGCTAATGGTGCTTCGTTCTTTCGTCGTACCAACATCATCTTCTCGTTTAGCGCTCGCTTAGCGTTCTCGAAAGCCTGTATAGCATCCGCTGATAGACGGAATGTTCGAGTATGTCCTCGCAAAGCGTCCGTCAATGGCTGTAATATTGCTGCGCAGTTTGGGATAAATCGTCTATAATAGTTTATTAGCCCCAAGAATCTTCGTAATTTTCTTTGTGAATCGGGCAACGGATAATTACGAATAGCAGCAACTTCTGTCGGAACTGGCATGATACCATGTGAATTTATCATATGACCTAGGAATTGCAATGATTCCTTTCCAAATTCACACTTTTCCACGTTAATAGTGACGCCATGTTCTTGAAGTCTCGTAAACAACTGTCGTAGATGTTGTAGATGTTCTTCCCTGGTAGAGCTAGCTACTAGTATATCATCGATATATGCGTGAACTCCTGTCAATCCCCTGACGACCTGATCGATGAATCTTTGGAAGGTTAGGGCTGCATTAGTTAATCCGAAGGGCATTCGCAAAAACTCGAATAACCCAAATGGAGTAGTTATAGCCGTTTTAGATATATCTTCTGCCGCTACGGGAATATGGTAATAAGCTCGAACGAGATCGATTTTCGAAAATATCATGGCACCTTCCATATTGGTAGTAATGTCGTGAATATGTGGTATCGGATATCTGTCTGCTATCGTTTGCTTGTTAAGGGCTCTATAGTCTCCGCATGGCCTGATTTCCCCATTCTTCTTCGAAACCATATGCAATGGGGACGCCCAGGGACTATTAGAAGGTCTTATGATACCAAGCTTCGTCAACTTTTCGAACTCTCGTTTCGCGACATTCAACCTTTTCGGGTCTAGCCTTCGTGGTCTTGATTTAATCGGTGGACCTTTCGTTATAATATGGTGCTGTACCGTATGTTTAAGATCTCTGTTATCGTATGATACCTTCGTCAGATCG